TATATATATATATATATATATATATGTATATATATTTATATATATAAATATACTGCTAGACTGCGTGCTGCATACAAGGAGGGTTTGTTGTGTTTGTTGCAGTAAACCCAAATGACCAAAAGAGATATCATTAAAAGGGTTTAGGGTTTAGGGTTTAAAAAGGGTTTAGGGTTTAGAAGGGTTTAGGGTTTAGAAGGGTTTAGGGTTTAGAAGGGTTTAGGGTTTAGGGTTTACAGTTCAAATACGGGGAATATCAGGGTCTACAAAACCCCCCTTTCTCCCTCTTCATGAGGTGGGGGTCTCTACACCCCAAAACCCTAAACCCTAAACCCTAAACCCTAAACCCTAAACCCTAATTACTTTTAATTAGGGTTTAGACCCTATCTAAACCCTTTTTTTTTCTTTATTTATTTGTTTTTTTCTCTCTCCTCTTGTCTTCGGCAGCAAACGAGGAGAAACAAATACATGGGGCCTCCCCAATCTATTTAAAAAGAAATCCTCGGGGCCCCAGGGGCCCCTGATATTGCTGGGGGCCCCCCCTGCGGGGGCCCCCCCTGCGGGGGCCCCCCCTGCGGGGGCCCCCCCTGCGGGGGGCCCCCCTGGGGGGGGCCCCCCTGAAGGGGGCCCCCCATCAGCTGGTCCCCCACCTTGTGCTGGTGTATCGGCCGCTGCCGGTGCCGCTGCTGCTGCTGCTGTTGCTGCTGCTGCTGCTGCTGCTGCTGCTGCTGCTTCTTTAGCAGCAGCACGCAGCCGCTGCATATTAAGGAAAGGAATGATGGGTCTGTGTAGCCATTCAGGCAGCTGTGTTGTTTTGTCTTGTGTTGGTTTTCTTTGTAGTGCTCTCTCTAATGCTTTTTTTCCTTCTTTATATGCTGCAGTAACTGCAGCATCTGCTGCTGCTGCTGCTGCTGCTGCTTCCTTTCCTGCTGCTGCTGCTGCTGCTGCTGCTGCTGCTGCTGCTGCTGCTGCTGCAGGCGGCTCCTCATCAAGCTCTGCTGCCTTGCCTGGATACGGGATCGCCTGCAGGGGGCAGGGATCGACTAGAAAGGAAGAGGGAAACAGCTCCTTTATTGAGTTCTCTGCTGCTGCTGTTGCTGCTGTTGCTGCTGCTGCTGCTGCTGCTGTTGCTGCTGCTGCTTGTGGTTGCCCGTCTCCTGCTGCTGCTGCATGTATCCCCGTTTTCCCAGCTGCTGCAGCTGCTGCAGCATTTTGCCCTGCGTTTCCTTCTGCTGCTGCTGCTGCTGCATTCCCTGTTGCAGTTCTTCTTTCCGTTTCAGCTGCTGCTGCTGCTGCTGCTGCTGCTGCTGCAGCTGCTGCTGCTGCTGCTGGTGCTGCTGGTGCTGCTGTATGAATGCGTCTATAGGGTTTGGGTAGGAGTTTGCTGCTGCTGGGGGGCAGGACAGCTAGGAGCTGTTGATAGGGAGAGATTGGGGCTGCATGCGGCAAGGTGACCTTCAATGCATGCGGGTCGAGGGCCCCCAAGTCTGAGGCCAAGGGGGCGTAGCTGTGGGGGTAACACCAAGCCCACGAGGGGGCCCCACTGTGGTAGTAGTGCAGCAAAAAAAATAAACCCGATATATACTTTCTACACAGATCCTGACGATATACACCAAAAGGCACCTTTGCTGCTGCTGCTGCTCCTGCTGCTGCTGCTGCTGCTGCTGTTGGGGTTGGTGTTGTTGGGGTTGGTGTTGGGGTTGGGGTTCGTGTTGCTGGGGTTCGGGCTGCTGCTGCTGCTGCTGCTCTTCTTGCGGTGGTAGCTGCTGCTGATGCCCCGGGGGGTGTTGCTGCGGTCCGTCCAGCTGCAGCAGCAGCAGCAGCAGCAGCAGGAGAGGCTTCTGCTGCTGCGAGATCTCTTAGA